CATCAATTTATACACTTTCAGAGTTGAAAAGAGGGGGGAGGGGTAAGACAGAAAACAGAAAAATTGATTAACAGAAACAGTGTTAGCTTGTAGGTTCACATGGCAACTCCAAATTTACTACGATTTGCCGAAGCGATCGCAATCAAACGATTTAAACCAGACTTATGCATACAGAAAGAGAGTGTGATTAACCTCTCACTCCCTTGGTAACTGAATTTTGATTTTGATTAGTCATCAGTGATCTCAACTCACTGAGCAAATCTCAATCTTATAAACTGTAAATGCTTTTGTTTTTTGGAGTTGCCATGTGAACCTACAAGCTAACACTGTTTCTGTTAATCAATTTTTCTGTTTTCTGTCTTACCCCTCCCCCCTCTTTTCAACTCTGAAAGTGTATAAATTGATGATGATAACTTAAACTAAAATTGTAATGCTTTCATTCTTTTTTGGATGCGTCAATTTTATCTCTTCTCTACTACTAATCAAACATTAAAGTATGTTATTATCATTTATATAACCACTGTAATTTCAGGTAGTCTGCAGCTGATGAGAACCTGTGAAATAGAATGATATCATTTTATACTGCAAATTTCGTCTTCCTTTCTTTATCGAAATATGCAGGATTAAGTGGAGATGAATTGGACACTCGCTGAGGAGGCCGCTGGGCGATATCGTGCGTCAGGTCAGTGCTCGATTGGAACCCGAAAGGGAAGCGGCGAGTGGGACGTCGAAGGGTGACATGGAGGAGATCGTATGAAGTGGGATTGAAACAGTATGGACTAACATGGATGGAGGTGAAAAGTACAGTAGAAGACGGAAGCAAGTGGAAGCGTGCAGTTGAAGCCCTATGTTCCACTAGGAGCTCAAGGGAACAATAATAATAATACTCCTACTTACTCCAGCTACAACAGGCAGAATAACAAATCGACAGATTATATGTAAGAGAACAACTCCATCGAATTGTTAAGAAACTAAACAATGCACGAAATAAAGTTGACAAACTCAAATGTATTAAAGACGACAAAGATTATGAAATCTTAGTTGAAACAACATTCGAAAGAGCTAGAGAAGTGGCCTTGAAACGTTGAAGAAATATGCGAATTAAGAAATTTAACAAAGTCGATTATGGATAAAATTTATTTTCATAAAGCCTTACAGTGTTATACAGGAGTATATTTTATTTACTGATGACCACGTTTCGAGCACAATTTATTGCTTATAATCCTGCCAAGGCACTCACACAACTTTCTGATATCGTTTATATAATTCCATTATTTTTCATCTCTTGATTTGACTGGTAATAATATCTTCCATATCTCTGGTATATGCGTGGAATCACTTCTGTTGCATGTGCTGGGTGTAGACTCAATGAACAAGGACTCAGTAATCAATCACTCTCTCTCTACCTACTTACACTACCTTTTAGAATTTTGACTCTGTCTCACCACCCTATTGTGTGGTTGTGTGTTAATGCATGCAGAGCGATTGCTGGGTTTTTTGTCTCTATTACTTATCTTCGAGGGTGGGGTCAACCATTCTAACCTTAGCCAAATTCTTATGTTCTGATAGTCTTACTTATGTAGTTGACTTAAGTAACAGTCATTGCAAGGTATCTTGTAAATTATATTATTTTGTTAAATTGGGTCCACCGGGTCCTTTAGCCGACAGAGGTCGTTTCTGAGTGAGTTTTTTTCTAGGTTTGAATGCCACCCTAATTCCTGCCTTAGCTGTCCCCTGCTTATATGGTAGAACTGCGGATACCCTTCGTATTTGTGTCATAAGTTTCACCATTATTTTTATCTTGCATTTGACCTACTTGATCTTCCTAATGAGTCAAAAAAATACCAGAGATATGGAAAATACTACTAACAATCAAATCAGGAGATGAAAAATAATGGAATCGTATAGACGAAGTTGGAAATCTGTTTGAGTAACTTGATATGATTATGAGCAGCAATAAATTGTGCTCGAAACGTGGTTATCAGTAAATATACTGCTGTATAAAACTGCGAGAATTTTTTTCAAGATACATTTTTCTTCATAATAGAATTATACTACACCACATTGCCCAAGTTCTATTCTTATATCGAATCCGACAAATTGATGGAGGAAAAGAACAACACAGAAAATGAGAAAGTTGACAACGATGTGTCCACGACTATCGATAGAACAAAGTGGGTGATCAACCCATCAACAAGCGAACTATGCTCTCGTGGGATAAAAATGCTTCTGAAAGGGTTAAACTTCAATCTGACAGTTAGTGAACTGAAGTCAGGCGATATCATTCCCAGCATAAATGTACTACTAATTTCAGTCGAAAAGACAACAGCTGAATAGGTTCCAGCACAATATGCATTAGCACTAAAACAACAAAACAAAACATAAGCAAACTTAACGAATTCAAAAAGACTAGCTCTAATAAGCTTCAAAAGTGGTAAAAACAATATTCACTGCAAAGAATGATAAAGGTAACTCAACAGTAGTTATTGGATAACTCGGACTATACCATGCAAGTCAGTGAACACATTAAACAGGTTCATAGGAGGAAACCAGGAAACCTGTGGATACAATAATAAACAAGATTAAGAAGTCTGCATCACCTTTAATACACCAGATGAAGCCATCACCAGCTGAATATAAATCGTTTAATTTGATGCCTAAATCTAAAAAGGCAGTGGATTAATAATGAAAACCAATAAGACCAACGGTGGATTTTAGAAATAACCCTTCTTATAAGTTATCTAAACACTTTGTCCCATCAGATATCTCACAGGTTTTGTCACCTTCTCGCCTCATCTCTTCTTCATTGTCACATAAAACTATCTTTTTCTTTTCTGGAAAACTTTACCAGTTATACTACTTATGCCTACTTTTGAGTGGCACCCAGTGGACTAAGGTGAAGTAAGCAGAGGATTTACAGTTGGGAGTCATTTGGTGAGAGTGGAGCACTTAAAGCGATTAGCTACACATTAACCACATGTCCCTGTCATCTACACCGCAAATTCAATTATCCTTTAACTGAAATTTTAAAAGTAAAACTTCTATCTGTTAAAATAACAAGGAGTTTACTGGTCAGTTTTAATAGAATGTTTTAATTGAGTCATGTACATCTTTTGGCTAAGTGATATCATGCTGTGCAGTGGAAAGAAATGACAAAGAAATGAGAGGTAAAAAGGCAATCTCCATTATATTTGCCTATCCACCTCCCTATAGAAGAGACGAATAGTGTTTAAACCAGTTGTGTTTTGTTCTTCTTTACAGAGATATTTTAAAGATTTCTCATGATTTAAACCAGCCAGATTTATTTGCACTATAAACGAATAACACAGAATGTTTCGTATGAAATGCAATGGGGAGATAACATTATTCGATTAGTTGGTAGCTGACAGTGGAATCCAATTCATCAGGATGTTCATTTTTTCCTATTAGGCACCCATTAGATGGGTGTCTCTGCATCTTCAGTGAATGAGTGAGTGATTAGGTTCCGTCTACAACTCAACACCCATTGTTTCAAATGTCAGAAAGCCATCTAATCGACCGAAGTGCCAACAGACAGACACCTCGGTTTTCAGTCTATTAATACTGGGAAATTCAAAATCCCAAATTTCGGAAAATAAAGATCAGTACTGCTTGAACAAGAAAACGCTTGACTTTTGAAACAACAGGTGCTGGATTCTAGTCTCATTCGGAATATTATCACTTCATAAGGATGCAGGTAATTCAATGTGATGAACCCTAAATAGAACAAAATGTACACTCTAGATCCCACTGCTAGCCACCATGAGCCAGCTAACTTCATTTTAACTTTCAGACAATGTCGAGGAGTCCATACTTGGAGCCTATATGTACAACAGAGAATGAGCAATTCAGTCTAATAAAAAAAACACAATCAATAGCTTAGAAAAAATAATGGGAAAATATGTTATTGGACGAAGTGTAGAATTATGCTCTGAGTTTGATTCAGTATGAATGGGTTTCAGTTTTAAATGAATAGCTTCAGCAATGCATTTTAGATTAATTCCTTACAATTATATCCTCTGAAATCGGTAGCCATAGCAATATTACCTTTTGTCGATAAAGTGATCCTAACTATCTGTGAGGTTCGTTGGTTGCTGTCAGTTTTTATGCGGAATAGTTTCAGTAAGAACCAGTATCAGTTAGAAAAAGTACTGACAATCAAAATTGAATGGTTTTCACTTTTTAGGTTGAGGCCGATAAAGAATCAGCATCCATAACACAGTGAGACAGCGAGCACTGGGTTGAATGAAATATGCATCAGTGAAAGCATTTCTAACAGGCTGTTGCAGGCTTTCAACAACACTTGTCTTTGCTGAGTTATCAAGACTACATAGGTGATTGACAAACTACCTCTATCAAAATTTGCCGAACTAACTGAAGATAAATTTGATGTGCAGTGTGAAGATACATTCATGTGATATCACATGCAAGCCCGGTTATCGATTGGAAGCCGAATGGGAAACGATGAGTTGAACATTTCTCCTAGGGTAACATAGAGAAGATTATGTGAGGAAGTTGTCGGAAGCTATGACAGAAGATCAAATGGAATAAAAATGTGTCACTGGGACTTTATATTCTTATCCGAACGTAAGAAACGAGTAATAACAATAATAATAATAACCGAGTGAACACAACTGCACTAGCATAAAAGACTCGGATAGTTGATAACTTGTCTTTCTCTAGCGTGTAATAAACTCTCCTAATCTACAGAGCTATCTGAAGAAGCTAAAATATACAAGAAATATTCAACAGAAAGCCATCACGAGGTGTCTGATGGCTGCATTCGGAATTCGGAAAAACCGTGCACCTCCAACTATCGCAATCACTGATCACTGGAGATGGTAATTAGGAAAAAAACATTCTGTAAACCGATATTCATGGATTCAGGCCGTTTCACTGATGTTTTTCAGGAGTTAACTGGTAACTAAGATTCAATAAGTATGTAGTATAAAAAATTTCGTACTTAATACTTGATTACTTACCCCTTCTGGAAGAAGATCACAATTCATTCTTTCTGGCCATCCAAATCCATAAGTTCGCATCACTGGCATACAACCGTCACGAGCACTTTCACACAATGACTTGCATGCAGTTAGTCGATAATGCCAGTTGGGTAAACAAATCGGTGTATACATACTGCATAAAAATAATCGTAAGTCTTCAGAACAATTGATTTCAACCAGTGGGTAGAATTGATGAACCTTGAGATACAAAAAGAAGACACAAAAACAGGGAGGAGGTTAAGAATAGAATTACGTGAGAACATTTTGAAAGCAGATTTTAAAGTACACAGATTATTGAACATGGAATAGTCTTCTTGATAACTTCTTCAAGTTACATATATCCATGTAGGGTAAGGTAAAAAGAATACATCGGGGATTATCAACTACACAAAGATCAACGCTAAAACGAATCAGATGCTCTCTAGAATTCAGATCAAAGTAAACACGCATAGAATAGTATGCTCTGTACACAATTATACTATAGAAATGAATGACAGCTGTAAAGCTCCAACCACCTAATGTTCATTCAAAAAGTGAACTTCAATGAGGAGTCTTTCAGAATGATGATCATATTGCAAACTGACTGACAGAAGAATCCAGTCAGCACCAACATTGAGGACTAGGTAAATGACACTGATCACCTTCTCTCCCCATCCCTTCAACCTTAGTGACCGATCAATAGAAAGAGTTTTTAACTGTAACTGATGGTGTGAAGGAATGTGAACATTGAACGTTGGTTCATTGACCTTGGTAGCCACTGGCGGGCAACTCGAAGGCGCGAATGATTCAGTCGTTTACAAGTTGGAAGAAGACGAAAGAATACGAATGGAAGTAGTGGTACACTCCTTATGAGACATTTGTTTATAGACTTTTGTATCGTTTTTGATTTCAATTGCCGAACAATATAAGTTGCTACAAATACTGGTGTTTTGGAGTTAAAGTCGATAAATGATCATAGTAGTTATCGATTCGGAGCGCCTTCGCAAATAATAGGAGCTTAGGGTTAAATTCCTTGACAGATGGCAAAAAGTAAGTTTAAAAGTAGTGAATCTAGTGAGATATAGGCCGAAATTATGTCTTCCACAAAGTCCATTGATGGCACCGAAATCCAGTGATACATCACGTATACCAGTCATTTCTTTCTGTAATTATCAGTGTAACTGCGCCTATAGGATTAATTTCTTTGGTGCCGCGAACAACCCCCACCTGTGCGATTAAATAAACTGCAAAATACACTGCACAAGGTGAGGAATCACCTTAGTTTGCCGTTAGAAATCAAAATATTTTCAGATTACAATATCTGTGAACTGAAATAGCAATCAAGAAAACAAGCGAAATAGAATGATGGTACATACTACTGATTAAATAACATGAGTAGTTAGAAACCACTCTTGGCAAATAGCAGTGATTACTAGTCAGACTGAAGTGATACATCTAACGGATACCAATTTTGCCTATCTGGAGCAGCGCTCATTAAAAGTGCCTCCAGTTTAATTCACCTTGAAGAGCCGAATCAGCTGAAGCCACCTAAGTTGAAACTAGCTACTTGACTGAATCGGTAATGCATGGAAACAGATCCACAATCTGTAAGTGACGCATATCAAGGTGTACAACTATCACGATTTCCTTTGTCTAGTAAGTACTACTGTCTCACTACTGAGTGTGATTTCCAACTACTGGTATCGAACGGTGGTATCTATAAAGATCAACTCAGTTCAGAGAGATAAGTATAAATTATCCACCTTCCATTGTTCATCTCACTCTAACCAGCTTGTTGAAAGCACGTAGACTTTGAATTCAGCAAACAGCAGAAGTAATAGCAATTCGAATCTTTTAAGAAACTCAAATTAATGAGGTCGACGCATAGAACATATCACTGTTAAAGTGAACATTATAATTATTCTGTTATTTTCTAACCCATTGGAGACAAAGTAGAATAGTATTCGTGAGAATTCGTGACCAGTAGGGTGCAGCAGGTTGGATGTGAGGACAAATACTCGCCGAAGACATTGCCTAGGGGTCGTGCTATGTCGTGAATTGGCAGAAGTTAGAATTCATGGACTGGCCATTGGATCGGGTCCCAGTGAGTGGCTGAATGGTATACGAGCCAGCTTGCCTTGTAACCGGAAGGTCCTGGGTTCGAATCCCAGTGGGTGCGTACTGATGAAGAGTCCCAAACAAGGATGAGGGAACAGCTGTCCAGTACTCCCAGGTTTTCCACTTGTTCTCTAACTAATGTCAGCTCATGATGAAAATCCTGTAACCAATCAAATTCCTACAAACCAACACTAGAATAGTAGTCTGTTGGTAATGTGTTAGTAGTAGTATAGTGCAAATGAGGCGGATAAAGACAGGGTCGGATAAACAAGATAGGCCTTCATTACTATTCTAAAACTCGGCGTGGAAATCTGTTGCACTCAGCATAAGGAACAAGGAACTTCAACAATAATGTCAAATCAGTCAGTGTTTCTACATGGTTCACAGACCTGGTGCATGCATCATAAGAATCATTTCTAGCAGAACACTGCAGACTTTCATCAACAGTTGCCTTCACTGCTCAATTAACAACAGGGAACTCTAGTAACTAATGAACCAACAACCTGTCACCAGACAAATATGCCGAAGGTAATGGAGATAGATTAGTCATACGCTTAGGGCACGGCCAAATAACATTATACGCCAGGCCATAGCTCAAGTGGAAACCGGAAAGGGAAATAATAGGTTGGATGTGTTTTCGAGGGTGACATGGAGGAGATCGTGTGAGGGAGAGATGATGGACTATTGACAATCGTGGAACCGATTGAAAAGTACTGCAGAAAACAGCAGCAAATGGAAATGTACTTTTCAAGTCCTACGTTCTACTGGGAACCCAGGTGGTTCGCAATCTTACTCAAACAACACGTACGTATTTAGATGTCTTATATAATTGTGCAACACATTCCACTACAAAAATATAATTTCTAGTTCTCGTAAGGATGTTACCCTGAGAAATTCATCACTGTCAAACAAATCACAGTGGAAAAGAGGCCTATCTACATTCAACCCATTTTAAAGGTGATAATATTTCAGGAACAATCAACAGAAGATCGATGACCTCATTAGCCAGAGCCTGTCCTGCAGCTAAGCTGGTTCCAGTAATCAAAAGTTAGCATGTACCCTAACTCTAACTGTATGTACATTTTTTTTTTCCTTCACGTTCCCCAGTGGAACATAGGGCTTCAAGCTAATGGCTTGAAGTTTCTGTAGCAGTGTTTATTTTACAGGATGTGGTTGCTAGCCTCATGCCCAACCTTTCCTCTTCACCAGCATTATTTCTGGCCCAACGAGGTAAAGGAGTGCGCTGGCCGGGGATCGAACCCCGGACCATGTGCATGGTCCATGTACATATTTACTTGTATCTGTGGTAGCAGTTACATAGGGAGAACAGGAAAAAGGCACACCTTCGATGTCCTGAATATGTGCCAAATTGCCTACGTCTCAGAGGAACAAGTACTTAAAGTAGTGCCATTACCAGACATCCCGATACGGATCATAAGGTGGACATCATGAAATTCTTTAAAATAATCAATAGACAAAATAGTCCAATTCTTCTCAGGTGTGCTGCAGCCTCCTCTATCGAACACCTGTAACCCGATTTACTTGTTCAGAGAGAAGCAGTTATCAGTCTTTACTTGACCTGATAACTGGATGTCTTTATTTTCTCTCTTCCATTTGATTGAGTAATCTATGATTTTAACCTATTCCCCTTTTGATACAGTGTAGGCCTGCCTGTCCCTCGTTCCTATGATTTGATTTGAACTCACTGTATTTTTTTTACTCTAGTTACTGACCATACTACTCACTACTTGTTTTTATTACCCAAGCATTTATTTTTGTTTAAAATGAAAATTTCTGAGGACTGTTTGTTAAGTTTGAAGTCTGCTATCAACTAACATTATGTAATATTTGCAAGTATGTTGGAATTGTTCTATACGTGAACCGAATAATTTCTTTAGGCTGTACACAGCTGATGAGAAGTCGATGAAATAAATGATAGTACCATCTTATTCTGCAGTCACCTCTCTATCTCAACTTCATCGACTTTGAAAAGGCCTTCGACAGCGTCGATTGAGAGGTGATTTGGAAACTACTTCGCTACTACGGGGTGCCACCGACAATTATACATCTCATCCAACAGCTATACGACAATGCTGCATGCCAAGTAATCCACAACGGGAAACTTACGGAACCCTTCGAAGTGAGGACAGGAGTAAGACAAGACTGCCTACTATCGCCAATGATTTTCTTGATTGCAGTAGACTGGATAATGCGACAAACAGTAGGCAATGAGGAAACAGGCATAAAATAGACACACACAAAAAACTTGGAGGATCTGGACTTCGCCGATGATGACATATGTCTGATTTCCCACAAACTGGAAGATATGCAAGCGAAAAGCAACAAGTTGGCAGAAGAAGCATTTAGAGAAGATAGGACTTCAGGTGAACATAGAGAAAACAGAGGTGATGAAGATTCCTAGGCAACACCACCAACAGCAACAACAACAACTGACAACAATCAGCATAAATGGAAGGAACCTGAAAGAAACAACCTCCTTCACCTACCCACCTACCTACCTGGGAAGCATCGTTTCAACTACAGGCGAACGGAACTGACGAGGATATCAAAGCAAGAATCGAGAAAGTAAGACAAGCTTTCACTACTCTCAAGTCTGTGTGGAGGTCAACAACACTCAGCATCAAAAATAAGATCCGGATTTTCAACTCCAATGTGAAGTCAGTGCTACTTAACAAACGGATCAGAGACTTGCACTGCGCGTCATAAAGAGCATCTCAAACAAACTACACACCTTCATTAACAGTTGTCTTCGCTCAATACCCCTCAAGATCAGATGGCCAGCTGGCCAGAAAAGATCAGCAACAGAGATCTCTGGCAATGAGCGAACCAACCCAGCAGGAACCGATTGTGAAACAAATAGGCAGGAAGAAATGGAGATGGATTGGCTGGCCATACTCTGAGGAAACAAACCATCAAGTGAGTGACATCACTAGACAAGCCATCGCTCGAGTGGAACCCGAAAGGGAAGCGGCGAGTTGGTCGTCAGTGCAAGGGTGACTTGGAGGAGGTGATGTGAAGAGGAGATGAAAACGTGTGGGCAGACTTGGAGCCAGGTGAAGACTGTAGCAGAGAACCGAACG